AACAATCAAACAAGCCCACGCACTGTCAGAATCCGCGTGATGGATGAGATCCTACAGCTCTGTTCCTCAAATGGTGGCGCCTTTGGTGTCTTTTGACAGAGGAAGGTGCCACCATTACTGGAAAAAATCCGCAAGACCCAACCCAATGTATTAATACTCCCCTCAGTTATTATCCCTAAGTTGTTATCTTCTTTAGCGGCCCCGTTGTTTGCCAAGTGAAAAGAATACACAGGCTAAAACCCCAATTCTTTCCCTGTTCATTTTCTCCTCACGTTCTTCTTCCCGCTTCTAGAAGCTTCCCCATGTCTCCCAGTTTTGCCCCCACCACCACCTCTGCTTCTGGATGGAAGAACTGCAGGAATTTCTGCCCACTCTGCTTTAATTTAAAAGACTGACAATTTCAGGCATATACTCACAGTCTGTTTTTCATTAAAAGTTTTCCTTTTTACACTTCTGCTTAACCCTGGGGGGGGGTATTATTTTTTGCTTTCTTTCTTTTGGGATTTGCCCTTTCTAGAGGGAATGTCATCCCCGCTCTTGCCCCCGGGGAAAATCACAGGCCCGTAAGATGAAGCGGAAACTCCACGGAGGGGAGATAACGTGGCTCCTGACAAGTTTTGTTCATTCCGCTGGAAAAAAAATAAATTCAAATGCACTTTGAAAGAATCATTGCCTAATTGAGCCAAGTGTGCTAAAATAGCACACACACACACACAAAAACTTTTCAAAACCACAAACCGATCTAATTTCCCCCTCACCCTCTCAGTGCAGCCAATTCTTTTTACCTTTTCAGAATCCCTACTTCAAATAATTTAAGTCCGACGTTGCTGGAATCATTTTCACATCTTTCATTTATTTTGGCCACGTCTGTGAAAATATCAGCATGACCATCTGTTTCTGTGCAGTGCCAACGCATTATATAAATTGCCAGCATAACTCGACGTTTATGAACCAAAAAAAAGACCAAATTAGGAATTCGCAAATTAGCAACTGCCACTTCCGACTATGAGCGCGGAATATGCCACACCGTGCCCTGAGTGACAATTTTGCTCATCCCAGCAGGTTCCCTTGTCTCTGGTCCCTCAATTAAGGGCCGTCTACGTAACAATGTGGGCTTTGGGGGGGGGTTGTTTGCTATTCAGAATTTATGGAACATCCTCCTTGAAGAAGTCAGGAAGGCTCCTTCCCCCACCCCTATTTTTCAGCAAGGCCATCAAGCAGAAGAAGAAGAAGAGAAGAAGAGATTGGATTTATACCCCGCCCTTCACTACCCAAAGGTGTCTCAGAGCGGCTGACAAACTCCTTTCCCTTCCCCTCCCCACAACAGACACCCTGGGTAGGTGGGGCTGAGAGAGCTCTGACCGAGACTGCTCTTTTTCAAGAACACCTCTTATCAGAACTACGGCTTGCCCAGGGTCATCCAGAGAGAAGAGAGAGGAGATTGGATTTATACCCTGCCCTTCACTACCCAAAGGTGTCTCAGAGCGGCTTACAAACTCCTTTCCCTTCCCCTCCCCACAACAGACACCCTGTGAGGTAGGTGGGGCTGAGAGAGCTCTGACAGGGACTGCTCTTTTTCAAGGACAGCTCTTATCAGAGCTATGGCTTGCCCAAGGTCATCCAGCCACGTGGAGGAGTGGGGAATCAAACCCGGTTCTCCCAGATTAGAGTCCGCGCACTTAACCACTACACCAAATTGAAGTTATTTCACAGAGCTTTGGAGGCAGTAATTGGGGCGGGGGACATGAAATGTTTTCTGTCTGTTTATAGGGTGTTCCTGTATTTTTTTTTCTATATTGGCTATTTTTGTGTGATTAAAACAGATCTGATGTCCACTATATTCACTAGAAACCCTCAGTGATACGTGGAACTGCCTCTGTTCCTTCTCTCTTCTGCCCTCAGGTTTCTGTTTGTCAGTCTACTCTTACTCTACATTCATTGATTCTGAGCTTTCTGCCTCTTAACTTCCCCGTCTCCTAAGACCTCTTCCAACTCCTCAGCCTACTCCAAAAAGCTACTGTTTTCCCTAGAGCCTGTGAGGCTGAATTTCAGCCAAAGGGACTATTTGTTCTTCTCACACAGTAGATGGACCACACTCATTCTTACAGCTTTGTTCATTACAAAATTGGAATATCCATGAACATTCGGTGCCACCCCACCAGCTCAGTGAATCAGCATGAGATGCTTCACTGGGGCAAGCGCATCAGAGAGCACAACTGATATCTATGGAAACTGAAGATCCATCTCTCACAGATTTTAATGGATGTGGACTGCATCCTTGACGTGCAGTCCAAAATCACTTTTTATTGTGACACAAGTTCTTTTGCTATCGAAGCCTACAGATCACAAATTAAACACCAATTTGTATTTCCTTTGAAGCAAACAGTTTAATTTTTTTTTTTAAGCATGCTGTTTGATGAAACTGAAAGTTTTGGGAATGGCCAGTGAGAACAAAACACAAGGCAAAAAGGATTGAAAAGTAAATGCTTTACAGATCACAGCCATCAGGGCCTTTTTTGTAGAAAAAATCCAGCAGGGACTCATTAGCATAATAGGCCACACCCAACAGTCTACAGATCACAAATTAAACACCAATCTGTATTTCCTTTGAAGCAAACAGTTTAATTTTTTTTAAAGCATGCTGTTTGATGAAACTGAAAGCTTTGGGAATGGCAAGTGAGAACAAAACACAAGGCAAAAAGGATTGAAAAGTAAATGCTTTACAGATCACAGCCATAATTGTGAATGTCACAGCAAAACCCTACTGTACCTAACCTCTGGGTACCAAAATGTGAAACACTGGTTGCCTGGTTATTTTCTGTATTGTTGGATTGTATTACTCTGTACCATATGGTTATGACCCATTGGTCTGTGAGCATGAAGTATAGAATAAAAGAAATAAAGGAAAATGTGAGACGCAACTTGCATTTGAGTGGCATAGCTGACCAGCTACTCTTCCCTGTGCACACTCACACAGTCACACATAGAATCTCATCTATAGTTTGTTACAAATCTAAACCCCAAAAAATTATCTGCATCAACACTGTAGGCCTAAAGGGAATCGTTTTCCTTCATCCCAAATTCGTTGATCCCGAACTTTCTTGTACATAACGCTGTGAACAGTTAAATGTACCAAAACCCCTTGAAGCGTACAGCCCTTCAGTGCACACCTTTGAGCCAGCTGAGCGGGAAATTCCGCTGCACGAGCCCTATTGAAACGACTGAGAGCTCTTGGGAAGGTTTTATAGCACGTCAACAGGGCTCATGCAGGACATCCTGGCGGATCGTACCCTTTGTGCTGCATTCCCATTCATTTCAGGAAGATGCAAATGGGCTACGCTTTTCCTGGACTGCACTTAATTGTTTGGATGAAGAACCGGATGATAAAGAGGGCTCAGTAGGGATACCATCCTCCAGGTGGGACCTGGGGATCCTCCAGAGTTACAGCTCATCTCCAGACTACAGAGATCCGTTCCCCTGGAGAAAATGCATCCTTTGGAGGGAGGACTCTATGGCATTGTACCCCACTGAGGTCCCTGTCCTCCCCAGGCTCCATCCCCAAACCTCCAGGAGCTTCCCGGGATCCGGCAACCCGACCCCCCCCCCCAATCCGCTGCCGGTGGCCAGGGGGGACCTGGCAACTCTAGAGGGCTGTGAAATCATGGCAGTTGTTTTAATGCTATATGAAATACAGTCGCCTGAGTAGTTCATGTTTCCCTCTAGCTCACAAGGTCTGGGTCCTGACTGAATTGCACCCAAGGATTAGCCAAAGCACAGGCTTCCTGCCACCCACTCCAGATTTTACAAGCATCCTTCAGGCTGGTCTTGGTAAACACGGAGGCGCATGAAAGCCCACGAACACACCTGGGGCGCCACTAGGCCGAAAGCAGCTTTGGCCATGCTATTTTTTGGAAAGACCAGCACAGGAAATCCCCAAATCCTAACCTTAAGCATTTGGATTCTTATTTTGACATTCTAGAGTGAATTTTTTTAAAGACCCATGAGCTGTTTTTGCATTGTCTATTATTGGCTTTCCAGATCTCTCGGAGCGAGAGATGTGGGCCATGTTTTTTCTTACTTTAATAGGTAAAAGAGGTAAAGCTAAAGGTTCCCTTGCTCGAAAGCCAGTCGAATCCGACTCTAGGGTTGCGGTGCTCATCTCCGTTTCAAAGCTGAAGAGCCAGTGCTGTCCGAAGACGTTTCCGTGGTCATGTGGCCGGCATGACTAAACACCAAGGCGCACGGAGCGCTGTTCCCTTCCCACCGAAGTCTACTCTGTATCAGAAGCACAGGTTGCCCTGATTGGCTGTAGCACTATGCTGCCTCAGAAACACAGCTTGCTTTGATTGGCTATAGCACTGCACTGCCTCAGGAGCACACGGAGCTCTGATTGGCTGTAGCACTGCCCTGTCTCAGAAATACAGGTCACTCTCGTTAATTGTAGCAGTACCCTGCCTCAAGAATACTGGCCACTCTGACTGGCTGTAGCACTACGCTGCTTCAGAAGTGCAGGAAGAGGCATAGCCAGCAGTAGGGCATTGGGGGCAATGCCCCCTCCTCAGCCTGCAGTGCCCCCCAACACCAACACCTCCTGCCAGGGTGGCCTCCAAAAGTTCTCGGGCGTCTGCATGCTGCGGGTGACCAGCTCCAGCAAAGGCTGAGCACCACGGTCAACGGTGGCCTCACCGCACTCAGGCTGGAGCGCTTGGCCAGGTGGCATGCTTGCATGGCCATGCCCAGCTCAGCCTAGCCTACCACACCGCAAGGAGCTGGGAGCAGGCTCAGCTTGCGCCCCCTCCCCAGCCTGCAGTGCCCCCCCCCCCAAAACCAACGCCTCCTGCCAGGGTGGCCTCAAAATGTTCTCGGGCTTCTGCATGCTGCAGGTGACCAGCTCCAGCAAAGGCTGAGCACCACATCAACGCTGGCCTCACCGCACTCAGGCTGGAGCGCTTGGCCAGGTGGCACGCTTGCATGGCCGTGCCCAGCTCGGCCTAGCCTACCACATCGCAAGGAGCTGGGAGCAGGCTCGGCTTGCTTGGGCTGGGCTAGGGGGCAGCGGCTGGTGTTGCTATGGCTGAGGCGCTCACGGGAAGGCAACAGCACTGCCGCCACCACTGCCAGGATCAGCTGCCCTGGGCGAGAAGGCTGGCCGTGCTGCAGCCATTGGGGCAGCCTGCCTGGCATGAGTGACTCGGCTTGCTCTCTCCAGCAGGCCGGCGGGGCTCTCCTCCCGTTGGTGGCAAGGAAGGATCAACAGGAGGAAGCGAAGGTCTTTTGCGAGCCTTTCCTTGCGGCTCGGTAGTCTGTGGCCAGGGATCCAGGGTGCCTTCCCTGCCCAGTGGTGATGTGGGACCAGCGGTGCTGTACGGGGCAGGCAGGAGGAAGCAGTAGGTAGAGCCGGTGAAGAGCTACTCCTCTCCCTCTCCACACTCCCCCTCCCTCCCCTGCTCCATTTAATTAAATAGTAAGATAGGCACATTTTATCATATGTGGTGGTTATGTGATGTTTCAAAAAACTTCTGGAAATGGGTACATTGTATAATGGAAAAAATAGTAAGATGTAACACCCCCTTTACTCCAGAATGGCTATTGTTAAATATTTTTCCGAAAGAATTTGAGGAAACGGATAGATGCCTGATTGTATACATGTCAACGGCGGTAAGGATATTATATGCCAAATACTGGAAGAATCAAGAAACACCAACTAAACAGGAATATATTAATAAACTTTTAGAAG